TCATCAATGGGGTCGGTGGTGGTGGCTTCGGTCGAGGCGGACGCGCGAGATGAGTGCGTGAGTGCGGCAGTTGGGTGAGGAAGTTGCGCCTCAATGTCCACTAGAGTAGTGTTCGAGCGGTTGAAGAACCCGAGGACGGTGCGAGAGGTAGAAGCAGTCGAAGAAGACATCGTTAGTGTAGAGTGGTGGTGCTGCTAGAGTCGTGGCTAGGTGATGGGAGAATGAGAAGACTGCAAGGGCTCGATGGCGGATGAGGAGGCCATGGCTGGACGACTGTGGCCTATATATCCCTCGTCCGAGAAGCAATTGCGGGGCAATCGAGAGAGTGGATGGAGAGGCAATCGATGGGCGTCTGTTGCCAAGGGCGGCCCTCCACGCCAAAGTGACGGGAGCAAAGAGAGCCAAACAAGTGCCCACTCCCCGAACTTGCCTCATATGGCAGGTTTTCTGCACCCAAGGTCCCCAGCCAATTCATCAATCACTCAGCGACATTGTCGGAGACGAAGGCGTGCGAGATCGGAAACATAGCTGCTAGTATTGACATCACTTCTCGGTATTCGTACATGTTACAAACCAGACGTGCCGTACTGCTACACACCGAACGACGCGCGACGTCACACGCTCAAGTCGTCCCTACTAGTACTGGGTCGTCTATATGATACAACATGATCGTACACGTCGGTGTCTAGTAGTGTCTCAAGATGTACACGCGATGACGGCGAGGAAGCTCACTGACTAACTCCATTGGCCGGGGCTTCCTGCTGCTCTACGCCGTCCTTACGAAGGCCATCCACTCCGGCGCGAAGAGCAGCTCCCTTGAACGTATCTCCTCCATCTGAGAAGAAGCCAGAGTACGGCGTCGCAGGGCTGAGCGTCGCCGGTGTTCTAGTCGAATAGGTGAGCGCAGGCGACACAACCGGAGAGCCTTCATCATCGGCGTCGGTGTCAGGGGACAGTGGACCCTCCTGCGCTACCGCGCGGCCAGTGAGTTGCGCGGCGGGTTTCGGCGCCTGAACAGCTGGAGCGAGTGCGGAAGTAGAGGAAGTAATGTTGTGGCTGGACGCGAGGCTCGCTTCCTTCGTACGGGAGCTAGTACGTGGTATATTGATGTTGCTCTTGCTGGTGAATAGAATATGGGTGTTTGTCTGGGCGGTGGGACCGAGGCTTTGGGCAGGGGGGTGGCGCGAGGTATTGATAGTGTCGGTGGTGGATTGAGGGGCGCGTCTGCTTTCGACCGAAGGGAGAAGGGACCTATTACTACTGACGTTCGAACGAAGCTGCTGATCGAGGAGAATGTTGTGTCCGAGACTGGTCTTAGAGTCGTATAGGGGCATGCTGAGAGTTTGCGAAGTCTGATGCTGATTGAGGTGTTGTGCAGGATGCGTAGAGGAGCGCGTGTGGATGCCTTGATCGCGCCCTTCGCCACGAAGCTGTGCGGCAAGGGTGTGATTACGCGGCCTAGACTGAGGGTCGGAGCTGAGGTTCAAAGAGGTTGCCTGCACATCTCTCCTCCCACGGCCATACGCGCTGGACTCAACATCGCGCGGGAATATCGGTGAGATGACGCGTTGGTCCTGTAGCAGACCTGCGGAGGCATGGAAGTCATCCTCTGACATGTTGGGGAGATGATCGAGAAGGTGACGGTTGAGTTCTTGCGGAACAGAACCTAGGGCGTTGAGCCTTGGGGTGACAACATGTCCACCCTGGGAGCGGTCTTGGCCATTGACAAGGCCGGTACCGAGGACGTTCGCCTGCTGTCGAGTATGCGCTTGTAGGATGAGTCGTTCCACCGGAGTGTAGCCCTGCTGCGTACCACGCCGAAGGCCTTGCATACCCATGAGAGCAAGCCGTAGCTGGGTCTGCTCATCGAGGACGCCATTGACCTCGCCCTGTAGAACGGCCTGAGGAAGGCGCAGGTCCAGACCAGGGACATGAGCCGCCTGACCGTTAAGCATGTCAACGGAAGAAGCATTGCTAGAGAACTGATGATGACTCTGTTGGCGTAGAGCTGGACCGCTATGTAAAGGCTCGTGGGCATGGAGAGGCGATGTGACAGAAACGGGTCCGCCTAGGTGCCCAAGACTGAGATTATTCAGGGCAAGTCCAAGATTAGGACTTTGCAGTCCGACAAGCTCGGGGGTTCTTAGAATAGGTGATTGTGTGTCGGACTGGTACTGAGAGGTGCCTTTCAAGTTGAGCAATGCAGCGTGCGCCATTGTCATCTTGGCCGGGGACTGCTCGTCTTCACGGCCATGTCGCTCGGTACGCTAGATCCAGGGGGTTGTCAGAGTGGGATACGAGACTGGTATAAATTCACGGAGGTACGCACCCTCAGTTCGCGTTGCTCTGGCGTGTCAGCGAACCGTACGGATATCCTGCAGCCCACATCATTCCATCCACGCACTAAGCGCCCATGCAGGCGTTCGATAATCTCCTCCGCAGCCTGCCGCGATTCAAGCCTAGATGTATAGCACTATTCAATGCTCCGTTTCATATTGATAGTATGAAGCGATGATATAGCCTCACCTCACAAACGCGATGAGCCTGGGAGGGTTGTTCAATCGAGTATGGAAGAACCGCGAGCTCATGATACGGTATGGCGTCACCAGCGCGCGGACGGCGTCTTCGGTGGTATCTAGTGGCAGCCCCTCCATGTATAGATTCGTCGAGGCCATATCCCGCAGCTGCTCCATCCGTGACTTGAAGGAGTCGGCAGGGCCAGCGTTAGACGCCGAGGGTACGGTTGCGTAAGCGGTGCCAGGAATCTTGTGGACTTGCTATGAAAACAATGAGTATGAATCAAGCGCACTCTGCGTTGTGCGCACATACCTTGGAAAACGAGGGATGAAGGTTGCGATATTTTCGTAGAGCCTCGATGCAATTCTCTGCTGCGTCCAGTGTCTCGAACCTACGTATCGTGGATCAGAATACTTAAGAACGAATTGAACAAATCGGTACTCACAGAACAAATCCATATCCGCTGATTGCATTCAATCATTCAATGGAAACCGTAAACAGCCAGGCATATGATCAGTCATATACGTCAAACAGAGCACGAATCGATGCAATCAACACGAATCACGATGCTCTTGGCATATACGAAGAGGATCGACAGAGAAATGCACGGGTAACGGGGAGTGTACTCACGATGGCTTGTCGCTGACATGACGCGTGAAGGTGCGCACGCTTAACACATTCCCGAAGGGACGAGTCATAGCGAGTAGATCCTCCTCCGGAAAGTTGGGAGGGAGTCCATTGATGTACACGTTCGGAGGGTGCGATTCATCGTCCTGGCTGACGTTGGATGGTGCCCTGTCTTGAGTTGACTCTGGCTGCCGCGCATGTGCTGGTCGTGCAGCGGCTGGTACAAACGCAGGTGGCAACGCATCGCGTGAGCCCTTGAGCAAGGTAGTGTCTTGGGTGGGTGCTGGTATCGCGTGTCAGGTTCCAGCGAAAGGGCATACATTGCGGTGACGTACTCGGACTACCCCGCTCACCGGCGTTGTGTACGGGGGAAGCACCATCGCGCGCTAAGGCGGGCGGAGCTAAATCCGGGCTGTGCAACCCAGGAGACTCGAGGACGTGTATGTCGATGGGAGTGTCTAAGATGTGTGTTTGAAACTGAGGAGCAGCGGCAGAGAGCGTAGACGAGAGCGAGCGAGCGGGAGACTGGGCGGAGCTCGAGACTGAAAGAGGGGATAACGCCGCGTGAGCTGCGCGCGAAGATGAGTCTGGTGGAGTAGGCGGAGCGTGCGAAGGGCATCCGGTCGAGGCTGGAGGCGTTGACGGAGTGTCGCGGGGAGACGAACGAACGAAAGCTGAAGAGAGCGAAGGAGAGCGAGCGGGAGAGAGCTGTGCGAGAGCGGGAGAGCTGGACATTACGTAGCTGGATGCGAGATGGGGAGATTATCCGGATATGCGAGCTTAGGAGGATATAAAAAGAGGCGGGACGGAGAGTTGGGGGAAGTAGTATGCAGAGAGTAGGTGTATTCGGACAGAGGATGTCGACGGTGACTTGCGAAGTGAGACGGACACTATTTACGGGTATTGGGTAAGCTTGTACTCGGTCGATTAGAGTTGGGAAGCTTGAACGATGTGGGTGCAGACGGGGGAAGAGGGCGGGGGGCGGGGGCGGGGCGGTATATATACGTGCTCGGAGTCAGGACATGGCGTCCATCACAGCCGTCTTCTCTTCGACAGCCCCAGCTGCGTCCATGCCACACAGCTGTCCGGATCGGGAAGAACGATAGCATATTGCACCGCATTGGGCAGGAGCAGACGCCAGCAGACGGCGAGCGCAGTGGCACGGACGATCCTCCCACCACGCGCACTGCATGGACGCACCATATACGGCCCAGGTCTTCGCCGCTCGCCGTCCGTCCGGCCTGCGTCGTGGTCCATGACGCGCCCAGCGTGACACCACTCAAGGCGAGAAAGAGACTCGTCCTTCCGCCGACGCTTCCAGCAAGTCAACGACACCAGATCGAGGGCTTCTCTTCTCCACTCCTGGGCAGATGAAAAGTCCTCTTTCCTTCGGTCCCATATTAGGCAACTCACTCGCCCACTTTGACGCCCATCCTCCTCCTTCGCTCGCTAAACGTCTCCGCCGGCGCCGTCTCTGCCATCTGGTCACTCCGGGCACGCTGTATGCGTGTCGTGCGCACACAGCACAAGGCACGACAGCCTGCAGCCTGCGTTGCAACCTGTTGATGTAGGCCGTCACCAGCACCGGGCCCGCCATGACGTTATTCGGTAGCGCCGCAATGTGAAGTGGACTGAGACCGAATGATCGTGAAATGCAACCTCGTCCTTCGCAACATTCGGTCGCACATCGAGATCTATTACTGCCCAAATTCCTGTCAGTTCAACCCAGCTGGAGTACCGAAGCCAGGACCCGAGGACCCAATCTGTTTTCCCTTCACGGGAGGTGCGTCGGAGATTCGCACGGATCTCGTTCGGTGCGTTCGCATTGTGGCCGCAAGCACCAACCTCCAACCATCGCCCGCCTAGCTCAATCGGATAGAGCGTCAGACTCTTACGGGTTCGACATGGCGACCCAGGGCGATCTGAAGGCTGCGAGTTCGACCCTCGCGGTGGGCTACAGGTTCCTTTTTCTTGCACGCTTGCAGCTTCCTAGACCCAATGCACCACGAGAAACTTCAGGTGTTATCCGGGCGCCTGCCAGCATGCATTTATGACAATGATATAATACGCAGCGTATAAATGCTAAATAAGCCCGCCTAGCTCAATCGGATAGAGCGTCAGACTTTTATCCGTCCACTAGGACAGGGCATCTGAAGGCTGCGGGTTCGACCCCCGCGGTGGGCTAGAGATGTTCTTTTTATCTTTAGCAGACAGTATTCTGCTATGCAGCGAAGAGGGAGGGCGTTCGGTAGCCTCGTGTGGACGCATCGCGAGCGAAGTGTAAGCGAAGTTGGCTAGCAACACCTTCCTGATAAGCACCAGTTGTGTCGTTACGGCACGATTCCGCTAAGCGAGGACCGTCGCTCTCAAGCGAACGATGAGGGTGTGCAATTGTTTGTAACGCTTTGGTCGGTACCTGCCCGCCCTAAGCGAGCGTAAGCGCGCATGAAGGGCAATCCAGGTCAAGCGCCGATGCTTGACGACGAGCGCTACAACGATTGCCTCCATCGGCCATACTCTTCGCTCTGCCCGCTTGGATTGCTTCGGGATTGCTTTATCGTCCAAGGGGGCCTGGAGAAGTTATATAGTCCACAGTCCTCTTCGCCATGGCCTCATCATCCACCCTCGAGCTCTCTCAGCCAACGCCGCCTCCTCGTTCTCGCATCACCTAGCCCGACCTCCTCGGCACCTCTACATCTATAGCATTCAGTAATGTCTTCCTCGATGACCTCCACCACTCGCCCTACCGTCTTCGGTCTCTTCGACCGCCCGGCCACACCTCAAGTTGACATCGAGGCACAACTTCCCCAACCCACTCCCGTCCTCACACACTCTCCTCGCGCCAGCGCCTCAACCTCTGCTGAGGATGCAACCACGGACCCTATCGACGACTTCTTCGGAGTCTCCCACTCACGTCCTTCGGGCTCGCGTCGCACGCTTAGCCTCACCGGCACCCGCGACAGCCGGCACGACGATGCTCGTGCGCCGACCCCTGTTGACGTTGAGGCGGCCATGCCGCCTCCGCCATACGAATGCTCGCTCGACCCTCCCGCGTACACGCAAGTATCGGACCAGCCGACGCTGGCGATGTACCTCTTCAAGTTTGGCTTCCGTGAGTCTCCACAAGATATCCTCGCATGCGAGCAGGGTACTGATTCAATTACTCGATCTATAGTATTCCCTCTGTTCTGGGTCGCAGGCGCATTCATTATACTCTCGCCGTTGCAGGCGCCAGAAGACTGGGAGGCGTCGAAGCCTGAATACGAGCGGCAAGAAATGATCGAGTCGATGCGTCGGACGGAGATCAAGTGGGCGAAGCGGTGCCTCTTCGCGCTGCTCGTCCTGGCTCTCACCGTTGCCGCCATCGTCACCACCGCCCTGCTTGTCATGCGCTCATGAAAGCCATATGGCCGGGCAACGTTTCTCCCACTCTTGCAAAGCTCCGAAACAAACTTGCCTAAACTCAAACCACCACCAAACAACCACCCCTGATTACAACTGTCGCGCCCTATAACTCTACGCGATGGCTTCGCTACTCCGGCAGAGCAGCGCCCGCCTAACCCTCCTTCGTTCCCCGGCTCTCCTTATCATTATTCTTATGCTGTATTACTATCAAAGCTTTGTATCCTTATGAACGTACGAACACGAATGGAACACATCTAGCAGATATACTGAAATTGACTTGTCGAACATGTCGTTCACGCCGCGCAAACACTTTCAGAAGCCCATACTTGGTTGCTCTAGGCACTAAAAATACAAATGTTTTGCAATGCTACAATCAATGACGTCGTCCATTTCACCGCATCCTGCGCTCCTGCGTGCCCATCACCGTCCCACTCTTGTAGAGCTCGCCAGGCTGCTCAGCCTCGGAACCGATCTCTCGCGGAATCTCGCCTGAACCAAATTGCTCCGTGCCGCGCATCTGGCGCTTGCGGTGCGAAGAGCCATCGTGGTGCATCTCCGCGCTGCTCATGCCCGAGCCAGGGTGTCCGATGTGGTTGTGCACATCCTTCGACGTAGCGCCGGTGAGAGTGTCACCGACGGCGGTTGGCGTCGCGTATGGGTCCTTGTCGATGACCGTGCGCGAGTCGGGTGCGGGAGATAGAGGTTGAGGCTCGCCGTTGATGCGACGAACCGGAGAGGGCTCACGGCCCGCAGATGCTCTCGCATTCAAGATATCGGACTCAAGGCCTGTTAATCCAAGGTGAGTTTGCTTTTGCTTACAAATCGTACCTGTCACACACATACCCTTGGTGTGGGAGGTCCGAGTACTGGGCTCAACGCCCGAGGGGGGCGCATCGCGGCCAGTAGAAGGTGGCAAGTGCTCCTTCGGTCGTTGCTGGTCTGTGAACATATTGCTATAAGCGCTTGGTTGAATTGCTATATGCAAACCAAACTTACCGCGAGGGACGTCAACGGCGACGAAGTGGTGGCCCGTGGTAGCCTTGTCAGCACCCGGGATTCTGCCCTTGCTGGCGTCAGAGCCAACGAAGTCGTTGTGGCGACCAAAGGTGATGGGAGAGTCAGAGCCAGACATGATGATGAAGAGTTGTGAAGGATTGGAAGTCGTGAACTAAGTCGTCAAGTAAAGTGGATGGAAGAAGAGAGATGCAAATGCGTCGTGAGTCGAAATGCGTTGGTGAGGAGTTGCAGCCCATCTTGACCTGCGTTATATAGCCGTCTGTCGGGGCTGGCTGGGCAGTGGCGAAGGAGTGGGACACTTGCATCATAGACGCGACGCGGTGCACGTGCTACGTCATTGTGGATAGTCTCGCCCAAAATGGCAAGTGTAGTTGGCTCCCTCTGCGTCGTTGGAACTCCCCAGAAATTTCAACCGACAGAGTGCCACCCAGCGCATATACGTATCGCGCACCACAGCACGCTCTAGAGCGGCGGCGTCGGTCGCGTGCAGAAAGACGTAAGTTCGGACTTGGGCTAAAGCACCACCACGCTCACGGTTGTTCAATTGACTGTGTCTATGTAGCCTTCACTTTCCGAACTATTCGTCTAGTTGTTCCATCGTCATCTCTGACCCATTCCCGCACCAAGGTATACCCGCCTCGCCGCGGTAGCCATACGCACCACACGTACCAATACACAACTCCGCCAAGAGATATTGCCCATGCTACAAGCACATGGAGCTGCATTGTGCCAGAGGTCAGTTACGAACCAAGGAGAGCGGCATGATCTGTTCATACGTACCCAGTATGGAAGACGTTCATATACTCTGTACCCGTGTGATGGAGGTATGAGAGGCACTGCGACAAGGAACACGTTGGACAGAAGGAAGAACACCACTACCGCCGTCCACGCCGCGAATGGCGGACGCCAACCGTATGAGGCGCGTAGTTCTTGCAGTCGCTTTGGCAGCCATGCATCCGGTAGATGAATGAATACCAAGCCCCCGGAGACAAACGTATTGATGATTGCAAGCGGGTACGAGGACACTTACGGGCCAAATTCAGCACGTATGCGAGAACGGGTACAGAAACAACTCACAGTTGAGCATAAAGAGGTACGCGTCCCCGGGAGGCACCAATAGTACCAGGCCAGAAGTGACGAGCCATTGTTCGAATAGACCAGCAAATGGCGCATTGAAGGGCTTGTTACTGGCAAAGATGGAGGAGAACGGCAACACGCCTTCTCTACCCAACTCCTGTACGACTAGGAACCGGATGCCTCAGCCTCATTCAAAGCGCAGCATATAGTGAGACATACCACGACCATGGGTGAATAGTACTGCAAGGATGTTCCCGAGCGTCGACATCGCTACGATAATGCTCACCGCCTACGAGAACGTCAGTACCAACCCGTACTCGAGGGCGCAGAACAAAGCTCACCCGCTCTGCGCCTACTCCCCAAAGCTTGCCAAAATGTAGGGCAGCGACGATTCTCCCGCTCCCAACGATTTCCTCTTTGTCGACGACGGCCAAGTACGCTACGTTCACGAGGAGGTACACCAGCGTGACGGAAAGCATGGCCAAAGGAGCGGCGCGCTTGATCGTGCGCACCGGATCGCGTACTTCGGCGAGCGCATAGTTGGCGTTGGAGTACCCAATGAAACACCTATGTAGTGCTGCGTGTTAGCATCACCCAGCATGAACCCACCCCATTTAGAGACTGACCATATGACGTTGAACAGCCCTGTTACGAACGCGTTCGCGCCACCTTGCAAGCTGCCCTGCCACATCTTGCTCCATTCAAGGTTATGGGGAGGCTGAAGGTAGCGAGGATAAGTCCATGCTCCGACATCAGTCCCAGTACGTATGAGCTCACATTCTCTAGGCGAAACCCAGGCAATCGCAACAGAGATGCGAGCCCACTCAATGCGATGCCGATGAGGATGAGAAGCTTGAAGAGCCCGAGCGCGTTCTGTATCCGGACCCCGGCCTTGAGCATCGTGCCGTGTAGGACCAGCGCGACGGTGATGCAGAGTACACCAGCGAGCCGCGCTGCTGTGGGAGACGGCGGCTGCGTTGGATTCCACGCGTGGAGGGCATCTACATGGCAAGTCATCGGCGACCAGATCTCAAGTACAAATCTGTCTTGAAGTTACACTCACATTCTCCGAAGACCGAGCAAGATGCCGCTTGCCATCCCTAGAGGCATGGTGTCAGAGACTAGTAATGAGGAGGAGGATGACCGGAGACTCACTGTAAGGACTGCATACATAGCATATATGCAGGTTACGAGAAGCTTCGGCTGTCGGTAGATGTACTCGAGGTAGTTCTTCTCTCCTCCGTTCCTCGGGAGACCCTGTGGTTTCCAACCAGCTTAACTCTGCTGCACAAATCAAGACAGAACAGCGTGTGTCGTACAGTTCCTAGCTCGATGTACACGGCAGTACCGCACAACGCGACGGTCGCGCCGAGCAGCCACATGATGAGTGACAATCCAACGCTCCCAGACGAGCGCAGAATCACGCTCGGCGTAGCGAATATCCTGCGCATCGGGGA